GCTACCCTGAGAATGAGCGCCTCCTTAAATGTTGCACCTTCACCCTCTCCCTTGCCCCACCCTAGTCCAGGACCTACTTTTCCCAATTTACCCCCTCAAATGTATGTCTTTTCAAGGTTTGGATTTTCAGAACCAAGTTGTGGTTATGAGGGCAGGATTAGGGGAAAGCTTACAGAGCCCTTTCTCCACCCAAAGAAAGGGAGTAATCACCTCTGGTCACTGTGGTTTAATAATTTTTACCACGATATGCTCTGGCTCACGTCTCCCAACTTTGGTGAGTTGGCACTGAATACAAAGGGCTCTTCCAAATTACGTTCAGGGCGACTGGTGCTAAGTTACCTTCTCGGGAAATCTGACAGGTCCTCGGACAAGGGTAACCTGCATTCCATTAAGCCATGCTCTTTACATTGGAGAAATAAATCCCAGTCTTTCTCCACAGGACAAATATTATAATTTCATATAACATAGTTCTTGGCTAATCCGATGTCACTGGACCAGATGAGTCAAGATGAGTTCCTTCACGGAAAATGGTGTCTTCTCTGCATCCAGGCACCCAACATCACGGAGAGTAGGTGTTTCATAAATGCCCATATAAATGAAGAAACACCACACTTATCAGTAATTAATCCTTGGCCTCTCGGGACCGAGGCCCTTTAAACACCAGAAAGGGCAGAGCCAGGAATCTGGCCCAATGATTTAAACACCAACCACTGCCACTTCCTCTCGGCAAAAACCAATTGTTCCTCTGGCTTTTGCTGACGTGCACATGTCCTGTTTTGTGAGAGGCTGGGTTTCTAGCTCTCTCCTCAGTCCTCGCTGCCTAGCGTGATTCTCACCCTGTACTAGTCCTATCCTATCCCTGGAGACCCGTTTCCGTTGGCACGGCCCCAGCAGAAACCACCTCAGCAACTCTGACCCCGAGCTTCCCCGGACCATTCCTATCCTGCCTCCCAACTGGCAACCACACATGCTGAATGCTGCCTGGGAACAGTTTGGGTGCATTGCTCTCCTAGGGCAGAGTTCTACTGACGATTCAGAGACCTGGTGCACCCACAGCTGGCATCTTGAGATCTCCACCGTCAGCGCACAACTCCGCCCAGCAAGTGCCTCCCAGCGCCCTGCTGTACCCTCCTGGAGGCAGTTGATTCTCTTCTGCTCCTTAGACCTTGGGCCTGCTCTCCTCAACCTGCTCTCAAAGCCCCTGATATCCTCCAAACACTATTGATGGAGGTTGGAAGAGGTTAGCCCCTCCTAACCTAGGTCTGAGTTATAGAGCACTGGACTGTGATGACCCAGAATCAGAGCAAGCAGCCTGATTCTAATACTGTGATGTAGGGCTCATAGAAAATTTCTAGGGACTAGATGGGGCAAGAGGACACAGTTAGTATGGGTGGGAAGAGTATTATTTTAATACTGTGATGTAGGGCTCATAGAAAATTGCACAGATAAATAATTAAAATAATGAAACAAATGACCAGAAAGAGAAGTAAATGCCTATCTCCTACTAGCATGCAGAGGAACTGGAGCTGTGGGAGGAGGGGGAAGGAGGTGGAGAATGGAACACTCATGAGTGTATGCTCTGGGCATTCGGCAGGTGAAAATCTGTCCAAATTTGGAATTGGTACCTCCAGCTTCCCTTGGCACTCTTTGGTACAGGTTTTTTGGAAAACATACCAACATATTATCTATTTTCTTCTTCACTGCCAGTAAGTAAACGGTAACATTTCTTTCTAAGGAAACTGAAAAAAATTTAAATGAGAGACCATTTTATTCAGCTTGATACCAAAGTTATTTCAATTTATAAGAATTAGACTATGAGATATTTGGGATAAACCCAAAGATATTAACAAATCCCATTTTAAAAGAGTTCTGATGCTTTCCCCACATCTAAGTTCCCACAAAAGTCAGGATGGAAACAGTACCAGAGATAAATGGAAAACATCTGACTGGACATAGCACACCAGTTCAATGGTGGGGCTACCAACTCACATAGCCTTTCTGCTAGGCAGTTTGGCCAGAGAAATTAAGAGCTTTAAAAATATCCAAATCATTTGATAAAAAATTATGTCACTAATAAGAATCTATCCTGAAAAAATAACTAGAAAGCCAAAGGTTCCCAAAGGGGAAAAAAAAATGTCATTGAAGCTTTGGAATATGATAGTGATTGCTTGAGAACAAACTAAATGTCCAACAGTAAGAGAATTGTTAAATAAAGAATGATACACATAGTCATTATAAGCCTGTTTTTCAAGTCAAACCCAGTTACAATATTAAATAAAAAAGAAGAATACCAAGTTGTATATGCAATATGATTTAAATTCCATTAAAATAACCCCTCACATAGGAAAAAGAAAAAATGGAAATGCACTCAAACCATAAACCCTGTTTATCTCTGGCAATGAGATTGTGGATGAGTTTGTTTTTCTGTTTATAGGTGAAAGGATAATAGGTGAGTTATGGATTGCATTTTGTTTTCCTGGCATCAGCAAAAGAGGGCAATACCTAGTGCTTTAGAAATTGTCATCTATGGACGATCCAAGAGCAAAGATTCCAAAATAAATGATCCCAGTACAATACATAAATGATTAGAAAGGATGATCAAACAGGACTTTTCTTTCTCTCCCCACCCTCAGGTTGGGATGGCAATAGAGCCACCCCAAGATCAGTGTGGAAATCCCAGAGCAGAGGGGGCCGGGGCCTCATCATAGGATGGAGGAGGTGAAGGGGCACACAGATAGCACAGGGAGACATCACACCATAGGGAGAAGCTCCCTGGGTAGCAGGTGGCACCAGAGCAGTGGTGGGCCCTGACTGCAGGAGGTGTCTAGGAAGATGGGCTTGAAGGCAGCTTTATGACATGCCCCATGCCGTAGGGGGGCACAACAGCTAAAAGTTCCCAAGTTTAAGGAGGGAGTAGCACTTACTAGTAGGTGAGAGAAGCCCTGTAGTCTAGAAAGGGTCCCACAGCTAACATAAGGGGACTCCTGATTGGGGTTGCATGAGGACTTTTTTCTAGGGACTAGATGGGGCAAGAGGACCTGAACTCCTGGGTGGACATGCCAGGTGGGTGTGACTAAGGACAGATGCACTAAGGACAGATGGACATACCAAGCGGATGTGACTAAGGACAGATGACTAAGGCCTTTACAGCCTAACTGCCCTTGGCTAGAGTCGTATTTGTATAAGTTGCCCCCTCCTCACTTCAGACTTGCTTTGAACGCCAGAGGGGAGAGAAGCACGAGAAGCAAACAATCCTTGGGACTGGGTTTCAACCCAAGTGTCTGGGAGGACAGGTTACATGGAAACGATTAAATATTCACAAAAGAGAGCTCAGCATCAGAAACTCAATTGTGTGGTGGAAAATAAACTTATATTTTACATACTTGAGCTTATGACATGAAATATTTGCTCACTGCATATATTTTTGTGATTTTCAGATTTTTTACTAATGGCCATATTTTGTATTTTACAACATTATTTTTAAAAAAGGAAAAAGAAAAGCATCATATCCACAAACAGTTGCTCATGAGTTAAAACCCTGCAGAAAATGGGGCAAAGGCTGATGGAAAGTCACCCCTGGCTCTGAGGATCATCTTGGCCAGAGCTGGTTTTGTGTCTGTAAGAGCCAGGATCTCCCTCTCAAAGAGAACCCCGAGTCCTGACCACACCTCTGAACTTCTGTCAGTGAGATTCTGAGTTAGTGTAGGAGCAGCTGGGAGTAAATGTGAAACTGGTCCTTCCTGTGCCCCATCACATTCCCCCCTTGTCTGCCTCCCTCCCCCAGCAAATCAATATTAGTGAGGTCCCCTGTAGATGACTCCCTCTTTTTCCAAAACCAAGTTTTGTTCTCTGAAGCAATAGCAAACAACAGAACAAATCCACCCACACACAATGATGACCTCTAAATGTTTGAAGAACATGTTGGTCTCTTGTTAGGCTTCCTTGCTCCAGGCTAAACCACGCCAGGTCCTCATGATATTTTCCAAACATCCTGCTATCCTTATCACCTCCTTGGAAGTTACACCTGGGATTGTCCAGGGCCATTTAAAATGGACCCAACAGTGTGGCCCTGTGCTTACGGTGGCCCAGAAAGACCTACTCTAACTCTGCTAAGGCTTCGAAGGACATTTAGGAGGCCCCTGCAGTGTCTCAGCCTGCAGTGGGGGACTCAAACCCAGAGCTTTGCCAAGTGAGTGGCTGTTAGCCCAGGGCTCCCTCTGCTGCACTTATGCACTTGTGGGGGCTTGGGCTGCAGGGCGCACAGCACTGGTGCCAATAACACCCAGCCACCCAGTAGACCCAGGTCAGGGATGTATGTGCTGTCACCTACAGGGCCCTGGCAATGAGGTCTGGAGACAAGAGGATGAGGGAGCACGGAACTCCATCTTGCTCTGCTGACCCTAGTCCTCCCCTGCTCTGCTGTGGGAATCCCCTCTTCTCTTCTTCTCTCGCCCTCCCCCCATTCCCACTTTAGGCAGAAGCAATCTCCATTCTTTCCTTCCTGCCTCCAAGGCTCTTACCTAACATCTTGGCATCTCCCATAGCTACTCCTCATTCTAGATATACCGTTGCTACATTTGTGGGCCTTGTCTTCCCTCCAGATCCCTCTAGAAGAGAGAACACTCCCTAACATTAGAGGATTCCATCAAGTTGCTGCACATCCCCCTTCACAGACCCCCTTATGTGCTCAAATCACAATAGAAGGCACTCCCTCTGCTGCCAAACCCACAGCGCTCCAGGGCTGTGCCAGCCCCCCTCACCTCCATGCACACCACACCCCCTCAGCCTCCTCTCTTTGCTGCTGTTACCATGTTCCCATGCACCACCGCCCCATCCCCAGAAGCATTGATTTGGCAGGTTTCTTGGGGCCAGCAATGTCCTAACCTGTTTGTTTTTCCAGGGCTGATGTTTGCAGGAATTTTCTTGGAACCACAACAGAAATCATCCCACGTCCTTATGCAATTCCTCTGGGAGGCTTCGACGGATAAATAAAGCCCTCGGCTTCTCCACTGGTCTACCTTTCCCAGAGAGCACCTGAGTTTCTTCTGAAGCCTCCAGCATCTGTCCACCTGCCAGGGTCTCTCTGGAGCAGCCATGAAGTCCCTCGTCCTGGTCTTTTGCCTTGCTCAGCTCTGGGGCTGCCACGCTGCCCCTCCTAACCTAGGTCTGAGTTATAGAGCACTGGACTGTGATGACCCAGAATCAGAGCAAGCAGCCCTGGTGGCCATGGACTACCTCAATAAGAACCTTTTTCGGGGCTACAAGCACACCTTGAACCAGATTGACAAAGTGAAGGTGTGGCCTCGGGTAAGTGAACCTCCCGCGTATGAGCTGAAAGACCTGTTTGTGGAGCTTAACTGGGTGTCTCAGAAGATCACATCTCCCAGCAAAAATGAAACTGCAGAGGGGTAGACTCTGATTTCTTCCCCAGAGGGAGGGAGGGGGCAGGTGCAGGGCAAGAGAGGACACATCCTCTTCTATAGTCACGGTTCTTGGCAAGGAAAGTGCTGGGGTTAGGGGAGATTTATAGGAAAAGAAAAGGGTAATTTGAAGATCAAAGGTAGAAAGTGGCTAGCTAGAAAACCCAAGGTGCAAGAGACTGAATTCTAGTTGCCAAATTATCACTGATTGGAAATCCCTTATCTTTCTTTGCTTCAGTTATTTCTGGATTTGAAAACTTACCTATTATATGCCAGGCCCTTTCACATATATTATCTGCTTAACTCCTCCCACCCCTTGCCCCTAGTCCTGTGTGGTAGGTATTGTCCTTGTCTTACATAAGAGGAAACCAAGGATCTGACAAATTAGGGCTTTTGTTTTTTTCTTTTTGCCCAAGGTCATATAATTAGTAAGCACTGGTCTGGGATTTGATTCCAGATCTGTGTTCCTTCCTCCGCACAAGCTCCTCCCACATTCCACATTCCAGAGAGAAGTCTTGGCATGAAGGAGATTTACGTCCTCACATGCTGAACAAGAAACCAATGCAGTCAGCGACAATAAAGGTCAAGCTAGAAAACATGTGTTGGGCATCAGTTGAGAGAACTGGAGAAGTGAGGAAAAGACATCTGTCTCTTGACTATTTTGAAATTAAATTGTATATGAGGAATAATTCTTTCAGCAAATGTTGAGTAGAATCCTTCTGTGGGCAAGAACAGTGGGCAAGTGTCAGGCGCTATATTAAGTTGAACCGTATGAAATTGCCATTTTTGTATATTAAAAGCAATCAAATATTGGGTTTTTTGTTAATTCTCACTCGAGGATATTTTTCCATTGATTTTTAGGGAGAGTGGAAGAGAGAGGGAAAGACAGAGAGATACATTGACGTGAGAGAAACACATCAGTTGGTTGCCTCTTGCACGCACCCCAACCAGGGCCCAGGCCAGGGAGGAGCCTGCAACCGAGGTACGTGCCCCTGACCAGAATCAAACCCAGGACCCTTTGGTCTGCAGACTGATGCTTTATCCACTGAGCCAAACTGGCTAGGGCCAAATATTGGCTTTTTAATGGTTCAGGCCAATACAAAGGTAAGAAAAGACATAGTGCCCACAAGAGTTTTAGAATCTAGAAAGGGAAATAAGGTAAACATCAAGATATCTGAATTGACTAACATCTGATCTCCTAATGGGACAAAATACCTAAAATCAGGATTGTCCCAGATGGATCCTAGGAGCTCTGCAACCATACTGATGTACAGAGGAAACTGATCAATTCAGAGGGAATAGCAACGTGCATCTGTGAGGAAAAGGTAATGAACAGACGGTGTGGTTTTCTCTAAAGGCAGAGCTTGGGAGTCACTTTCCTTGAGAAGCCCAGAAGTGTGCAGCTCCTACTCCGGAAGCTCTGGATGTTTTCAGGAAGTTAACTGGGGCACATCTGCACATCATAAAACACAGCTTTCTCCCGTAGAGGAGATTCTGAGGCTTCAGGTACTAGCGAGTAAGGAAGAACAGAAATAAGAGGCAAGAAGAACTGGGGTGAAATAATAAAATAAAAGGCATAGTCATACCTTCTTGATTTGCAGGCTTTGAAGAAAGGATACAGAAACAGGTGAACTGGCAAGAACAATTCCAAAGAGTTACAGTTCTCCTATCACTGCCTCCTCCAGAACTCCTGGTTTATGCTAGTGACTTACACACTGCCTCCTCTGTCAGAGAGGCTCCTCTTCCCCCCTCATCACCAGCAGGGGGCAGTAGAGGGCAGCAACTTTGCATCTGGCATTTATAAGCCCAAGACAAAAGCCTTTAGGAAGGAAAAGGAAAAGGGGGGGGGGGGAGGGGGGGGAGGAAGGAAAGTAGCTAATGATAAAAAGAAGTAAAGGGAGGGATGGAGAAAAAGTAGAGACAGTAAGATATCATCCTACAGCACCTTACTTTACTGCTTCACTGAGAAAAATCCAAAGCTGACTTTTTAAAAGCACTGCTTGAAAGGCGAAATTTTAAAAATTAAATAGGTCTCAGCTTCACTTTTAGCTTCCAAACAGAGTTCAGAGTGATGGCTGTGATTCCATCACCTGTCCAAGCTCACGCCCCCCTTCTTCCTGGTAAACACCCTTAAGCACCTGCCCAGCCAATAGAGGAGGACTAGGAAGACCCATTGTGGTTTCGTCCACTGGCAGGTCAGCGCTGGGTGAAGTTGCACACAGTAGGAATGACTTCCCTCACCTCTCCAACAGGTGGTGGGTTCAAGCCCATGGGGGCTCACGCTTTGGCCTGATCAACAGGAACCGGGCAATACACTGCTCACTTCTTCATTCTGTGTCTCCACAGCGGCCCATGGGAGAGGTGTTTGAGATGGAAATAGACACGCTGGAAACCACCTGCCACGCACTGGACCCCACCCCCGTGGCCAACTGCTCTGTGCGGTCAATGGCGGAGCACGTGAGTGGCCCTCTTCGGGTGATTTCGGATGGTGGCCCAACCAGATCCACCGTGGTTCTGCATGGAGCAGGCCTCTTTATCCAGCTGCCCAGCTGGCCCTCATGGCTAGCCAGTGTGCAGTTTCTAAAATTGCCATTCGAAGCCTCCTTCCCTGGGGCTAATTTTTGCAGCAGTTCAACTTTCTTATTGTAGCCCTCCTTGCAACCAGAGTGTAATGTGTCAATATCACCCCCCCCCCCCGCCGCCCCCCAAGAAGGTGATTTTGTGAGGTCCACCTTTGACAACCATGCCTGAGGGACCAAGCCCTCCCTGGGTGAGAAGTGCAAGGCCAGCCCTCCTCCCAGGCCCTCACTGTGGGTTTATTTCTCTAGGCTGTGGAAGGAGACTGTGATTTCCATGTGCTAAAACAGGACGGCCAGTTTACTGTGTTGTTCGCAAAATGTGATTCCAGTCCAGGTAAAGATGATTCTTCTTATTTGACCTTGTAGAGAGAGTGAGGAAGGAACCTGCATTGTTATCAACATTCTAGCCACTTTGTTGGTGAGGAAAAGGAGAAGCCAAACTTCCTGGGTTCTGGGTTTGTAAAACTGTTTTAGGGAGCTATTCTCCTTGGAGGTGAAAGTTGTGCCTGGATGAGAGGGGCTCCTGCAGAAATGTCAGCATGACAGGAGCCACCTGAAGGTTTAGTAAGAAGCAGAGATTATGCTAAGCGAAATAAGCCATCAGAGAAAGACAAGGATCACATGATCTCACTCACATGTGGAATCTAATGAACAAAATAGGTCCAGAGACATAGAAGCATGACACAGACTGTCAAATCTCAGAGGGAAGGTGGAGGTGGGTGGGTGTGGGGGGTGAGGGTGAGGACGGGAAAAGATTACCATAGCTCTTATATGCATAACCCATGGACACACACAATAGTGCAGCGAAGGCCTTGTGGGGAGGGGGGGAGGTGTCAATGGGACATCTGTCATACTTAGAACGATAAAGATTTTTTTTTTTAAAGAAGCAGAGAAAATGCCTAAAGCCATTTGGATCCTGTCTTAGCCCTTTCTAAATAAGCAGAGCTGGGGTGAATGCCGCGGAGAATGACAACCCTCCCTGATCCTTCTCTCTGTGATTAGATTCGGCGGAGGACTTGCGAAAGGTGTGCCCAGACTGCCCCCTGCTGGCCCCGGTTAATAACACCAAGGTGGTGCGCGCTGTAGAGGCTGCTCTGACCGCTTTCAACACTCAAAGTAATGGCTCCTATTTCCAGCTTGTAGAAGTTTCCCGGGCTCAACTTGTGGTAAGACTGAGGCCCTTTGATAAACTGAGCAGTCTGGTGGGACTTCGGCAATGCACGCGGTGAGGGGCTGAGCAGGTGCAGGGGCAGTAACGGAAGGCAAGGAAGGGAGTGGGGAAAAGAGTCCTGGAGGGTATGAGGACCCTGCGTATCATCAGGATCTCAGTGTCTCTCTAACATAAAACAGCCAGATGCTGCCAGTCCCCAGTTTCTCAGCTCCAGTTAACCCTGTGGCTCTCGGTTCAGCGGGTGGGAGTTCCCACATTGTTCAGAAGCACCCACCGGAAATTCATGGGTCTTCATATCTTTATCATCCATCCTCACTGATACTCCTGTTTGATACAAAGGCACAGGCCTACTCACACGGATAGGTGTATAATGGTGGGATCCTAAAATGCCTTTTGAATCACTGAAAAAAAATCTAATTATACTGTGGATAGTTTAGCATATTTGAATGCAACAGAATTCTAAACTGGTTTTCTGGATACCAGCCATGGCATATTTGGAAATCTATTAACCAGAATATGTGCTTCTCAGGGCACCCTCACCCCCAGACTCTACCAAATAACAGGGATTTTATTATTGTAAGTGTCTATATGTTCCATAAGAACTATAAAAAAGTACAAATATCTTCCATACTTTCATTTCTATTTTTTTTTTCATTTGATCCTGCTCTCTACAGTTGGTGGGAGAGGTAGCAATTGATTTCTTTACTGTACCGCTCTATCTTGAAATAACCTGAACCTTGGGTCTCAAAGTGCAGCCCAAGAGGGAGCTGGGGTGGGGGAGGCAGGGTTCTCACCCAGATCAGTGGAAGGTTGGCCACTGGGTTCCTGCTTCCTATTTGAAAACTCACTCTGCCCTGAATGATGGGCAGTGGATACTTAAATCTCTTTCAGGGGAGACCTGCCCCCAAACTCTGTATTCAATACTGGAGAACATGAAGCCACAATAACCGCCCTCTACAACCCATTGGGGCCATCTTTCCTGGTCACTCACTGTGGTCTATGTGAAAGGTGCTCCCTGGAGTGTGCACTGACAGGGCCCTTGCTACTTCCCTCCAGCCTCTCTTTCCCTGCCTTTTTCATGCCAAGTCGTGTGACTTCATGAGCATTTTCATTTCTCTCATCAGTATCTTACACATACGACCTATGTGGAGTTTGCAATAGCTGCCACTGACTGTGTTGCTAAAGAGGTCACAGACCCAGCCAAATGTAACTTGCTGGCAGAAAAGGTAAGTGGGCCAGGCCCTGGGGATGACAAAGCTGGTTGTAGAACAGAGCATCCTTAGAGCAAGCTAAGGATGCTAATCTTGGGATTGTGGAAAGGGGATCACAGTGCAAAATACCCACTCCCTATGGGGCTGGGTCATGCCAGCCTTCTTCTGAGGTGTTACCTCCTCCTTTTAAGAGCTGTCCTCACATCATTTCACCTGCTGAAGGTCCCTGGTGTTAGGAAAATGACAGACTGTTTCTAACTAAGTCAAATCATGCCCGATTGCTGGCACTGTGAAGTGTAGATTTTCTAGACATACCCCGGATATTAAATCTTTCAAGTCACTGGGGCCAATAAAGTCCACTTCTAGGAATTTAGCCTAAAGAGAACATCAGAGATGTTTGACAGAAATGTATCTATATACACATGAAACTAATACAAAAGTAATATTGAATGTAAACAGTAATTGGAAAATAAAATTTGAGAAATACATTGAGTAATTGAAATAAAATAGTTCCATAATTAATATATATCTGTAAAGATGATTTATCATAGATACATAATGACCCACAGAAGATCTGAATGCCTAACAGGGGAGTCTCTGAATAAAATAATGGCACATCAATAAATAGAAAATTATGCAGACACTAAAAATTATGTTTTCAAGGAATAATGAATGATGTAAGAAAATGCTCTCATATTATAGTAAGTGAAAACACATAATACTGAATGTTATAGTTACAATGATCCCAATTTTTAAATGATATTCAATCAGTATTTTAAAATAAGAAAAATACATGGACGTTAATGGAAACTCTCCTGAGTTAGTACCATATGAGGGACTATGGGGGATTTCTCCCACTCTCAAAGCATTTCTGTATCTTTCACATTCTATATAGAATTATATGATATATATATTCTGTAAGCAGAAACTATAAACTTTAGAAAACTGTGTGTGTTTAAAAAAAAGAAAGAAATTAAGAATTCAAGGATTTGTTTTCTTTCCTTTGACATATTGGAGTATCAATGAAACTGGGAGAGAAATCCACTTATTGAACCAGTTCAAATAACTCCTGTCTTTCTGTGGCAGCAATATGGCTTCTGTAAGGGGTCACTCACTGAGAAGGGGCCACTCAATGGAAATGAAAAAGTTGCAGTGACCTGTACAGTGTTCCCAATACAGGTAAGGGAGTCATGGATACACTTGTCTTCATCTTCAGAATACAATGACCCCTTGGCATTTATGTAGTGTGTTAGTAATTATAGGGAATTTGCTGCCCTGACCCACAATGATAAATAGCACTGGGGTATGTGGAACCATCACCAAATGGAAGGGTATTTCAGCCATTCCTTCCCAGCCTGAGAACTGGTACCTACAGGGTAGAACCATCCTAGTAGGCATTTGACAAGGCCACTTTTTATTTGTGGGGTGGGAGAGGTTTTCTGAGTTGCAGAGACCAGGTGGCCAGATCTTTCCAGCAGCTCCCAGTGGCTGCAGGTGTAGATGAAAAAGAGGCTGACACTGCTGGTGAAGGTTAGCCATCAGGTAGGGTGCTTTTGCTCATGAGACATGTCTAAGTCCACAATGCCCAAGACAATTGGTGAGAGGGGGCTACCATATGCCAATTACCCTTCCCTGCATCTCTTATGATAATCCTTTGCACCTAGGTAGTTCTTTTCTGCCAGATTTTATGTAAATAGAAATTATTGCTGAGAAAGAATTGGGTGGGGTTCCACCTAAAAGCATGGGTGGCCTTGTCCGGGAGGAGAAAGATAGCTAACCTATGGAAACGGTTCTCTCTCCTGCCTATGTTGCCACAGCCTCAACCAGACAACTCCCCTGTGGCTACACCTCCAGCTAAACTGCCCGAAGCTCCTGTGGTGTTGGGACCCCTGCTGCTGGCAGCTCCACCGCTACCCGTGCCGGTGCACCGGGCACACTATGACCTTCGCCACACCTTCTCGGGTGGAGCCTCAGTGGAGTCTGCCTCAGGAGAAGTCGGGAAAGCACCCAACGTGGCACAGCCTAGCGTGGCTGTAGCTGCCGGTCCAGTGGTCCACCTTTGCCCCGGGAGAATCAGACACTTCAAGATCTAGATGAAGGTCAGGGATGAGAAGGATTGGCAGAGAGAACATCGCCATCATTTTGTCTAAGTCTGAGTAGGGGTAGGGGCCTTGTCTGCTAAAAGGCAAGTGCTACATGTGGTCTAGATTAATATCAAGTCTTGAATCCCAACTTCTCTTCCTTCTTCAGAAAACAGAAGCAAAGGGGATGATGGTTATGTTTGAGGAAAGGCATAAAGCTGGCAACTTGTCATTGTTCTGATAATAAGCCACCACCATTATGTTCTCTGCCTTCTTTGACCTCAGAAAAACAACTGTAACTGTGACTTTGAGAGGTGCTCTTGCCAAACTTATATTTGCTTGTTAATGAAAGTGTCTGAAGGATCTTCCTGAATAAAGAAGGTTCTAAGCAGAAATGTGGTCATAATTATTGCCTACTTCCTCCAAGCTCATGTGTATGGCTTGTCTTCCCAACAGCCACTCTACAAGTGTCCCCAAGCAAAAGCAAAATGAAAATAGAGATAAAATAGAACAAAAATGTGCTGTATTGCTACACACAGGAAAAAGTGAGACTAGAATCTGCTAAAATCCCATAAGATATGTCCATTTCCTTATAAGAAAATAATTCTTATCATTTCATAAAGGTAAAAACTATGGCTACACAAAGTCCAAGTGCCTTAACTTTGTACAGCCAAACCAACCATTGTTTTCCTCAATACCCAGGTAAGGAGAGATTGGCAATTAACACAGGCAAGTAATTTTAATTACACTGCTTATTATATATGTTTAAAATAACTGTTGATTGTACTGTAGACACTTCATGTTATGATGCAGGATTGGTCTTTCCAGCCAATCTATTTTAAAGCTTTAAGTGAAAGCTCTATTTACAGTATGATAAGAGAAGGAATGTGTGGACAGGTAAATTCAGTGGACATTTGTAGGCATTATTAAAGTACTCGGATAACATAAAGGCATAAACAGTTCCCATTATAGAATGGTGCCTAGACTATTTCAATTTTTGTTCTGAGTGATCTAAAAGATCGTCTCTTTAATATAGAATTTTAAAGGGATGAGACTAACAACCAGTTAGTGGCTTCACTTGAACCAAGAAGACTGAATCAAACATTGACCATCACCTATCATTCTTGCCTTGAGGTTTTGCCAGTATCCCAGAAGGAATGGCCAGGAAGGTGGTAAAACCACTAGGTATCTTAGAAGTCAAGGAAGATAAGGATGGTATGGTCAGCTGGGTTAAATGCTGCAGAAAGATCAATGAGAATGAGGACTGAGAAAAGGCCATGGTTAGTTGACTTTCTTGGAAGTCATGGTAACCACTGGCAAATGCAGTTTTACTAGAAGGATGAGTGTAGAAGCCTAGTTGCAGAGGGTTGATTGGTGGTAGTCTAAGATAAGGACATGGAGGGGCACATGTATTCTCTTTCAAGCAGTTTGATTGCAAAGGGTGGGAGAAATAAGATGTAATTTAAAAGGATAATTGGGTGGAGAAAAGACTCCTTTTTCAACAAAGACTTTTGAGCCTATTTAGGGCAAAATATATAAAGAGATGGGAGAAGAAATAAAGGAAACGATGGGGCAGGGTGCTAGGATAAATATTTAGTGGAGAACTGGAGAAGATTTGAGCAACTCTGCTAAGGATTCTAGTTCTTCTTTGTGGGAACTTGACTTAGATCCTGAAGAGTCATATTTCACCCAGCACTAAAAGAGACTCACCTTCTGTCCAACCTTGTACACACAGGTGTGGTTGTGAGGGAGCACATGGAGTATTAGTTACATTATTTTCCATGGAGAGTGAGTGATAGATTCCCAACCCAAAGTAGCTTAAGTAAAAAGGGGAATGTGTACTGAGAATTCAGATAGAGGAGTCCTACCTAAGGCACAGCCAGATCTAGGGATTCAAAAGATATCATATCTTCCCTCTCCTCCTCCTCCTCCTCCTCCTCCTCCTCCTCCTCCTCCTCCTCCTCCTCCTCCTCCTCCTCCTCCTCCTCCTCCTCCTCCTTCTCTTCCTCCTCCTCTTCCTACTCCTCCTCTTCTTCTATCTCTTCTTTCCTCCTCCTCCTCCTCCTCCTCCTCCTCCTCCTCCTCCTCCTCCTCCTCCTCCTCCTCCTCCTCTCTTTCTCTCCATCTCTCAGCAATGCCTGCTTTTAGTCTTAGCCAGGATGGCCATTGCCAGTGTCACACCTACATAAGCATTAGTGCCTAAGCCCGAAGAAAGAGAGAAGGGTCAGTCAAGAAGAGCCAAGGAAGGAGTTATTCCAGGGGAATAGCAGACATGAAGGCCTGGAGGCAAGAAATAGGTTGATGTAGCCAAGAATGATAAAGGAAGAAAGCAAGATGAGGAGGGATGTAGAAGATGAGGTTAGAAAAGTGGACAGGAGCCAGGTCATGAGCAGCTTTGTGGTCCCCAGGAGGAGATGAAATGTCATTTTCAGTGCAATGGGAAACCATGAAAGGTTTTTAGCAGGGCAGTAATATATTCTGATTTATGTTAAAAATTCACTTGAGCTCCATGGTTCTCAACCTGAGGATGGGGTGAGGTTGGATGGGGCAGCATCACCTTCTCCTCAAAGAGATGTTTGAAAGTAAGTGGAGGCATTTACTTGGGATGCTACTGGGCAGAGGCTAGGGATGCTAAACATTCTGAAATGAATTGGAGAGGCCAAACAATGAAATCCCAACAATGAACAATGATTAACTGATGCTTCAAATACTAATAGCATTCACTTTGTTAGTTGCTATAGGGAAAATGAATTATAGCTGGGCAAGAGTAGCCATAGGATAGGAAGTGACTGGAGCTTTCTAGAGGAGAGATAAGTGTACCTTAGGCTAAAGTATTGGGCAGCAGGTATAGTAAACCAAAAATATAACCTGCTGATGAATTCGATGTGGGGGTGAGAAAGAGGGAGATGGAGGATAACTTCTGGATTTGTGGCATTTCTAATTGGGTAGATGGTGGTGCCATTTACCCAATTACCCACTTACCCCTTTACCCACTGCCTCAGCAAAGGGCAGTGATTAATTTCATTTGAGTTACCTCTCTATCTTGAAATTGTGCAGTTTATTATTCTACATCAGGCTAACCCATGCTTCTTAAAGAAGCAGTGAATCTGACAGACCTGCATGACCTGGGCCAAGTTGCTTTACCTTTCATTTCTCATTGCCCTCATTATACATCCAGGTGTATACAACAGCCCAGAATGGCTGTAAAACTAAATGGAAAGTTTGGAATAGATGCTTGGAACCTTCTTGACACATTCTAAGTCCTCTGTAACTGTCTTTCCTTATTGCTTCCTCTTCCTGTCCTCTGAATTTGGTGTCTTCAGAAGATCATGTTTCGGACCTTCTCTTAAATGTGTATCCTCTGCTCGACAAGTTGATCCTCACTTGTGATTTAAACTCTTAGTCTTACACAGATAACTTCCAACTTTAGACTCTAGGATGGGTCTCTTATTTGAATTCCAACACTGCTTTTCCAAATGTCTCCAGGATTTCCTCACTTGAATTTACCTAGACCAGTTTCCTATGTGATGTATTTATCTAAAAGATGCATGCCTGAACACTCAGCATTATTCAAAATGTGCATATTCTAGAAAACTTTCTTCCAAAGAATAAACATAATTTAGAGAAGATGAGTTATGGATTTATTAAATTTACTGTGCTTATTGCACAATTTTTGCATTAATGCTGCTCTATATTTTTTCAAAATCATTTTGCAGAGTGCTCTCTCTTAAATTAAGAGCATTGCAGAAGTCCCATTTATTTGCCTTCTTCATGGCTTTTTAATCACATCTAACTCGTGTACTAAAGTTATTGAATTTCAGGTATGTTTTTCAATACTTGTACCAATTAATAATAGTTGATGGATGTTAGGATAATACAAACATTAATTTCCCAAATAATCCTTTTTGTTAAATATTGCTAGGGTTGACACAACTCTTATCTCTGCATTGGCTTTTTAGGACCTTTTACCACCATCCCTAAAATGTTCATTTTTCTCTGTCATTGGGATGCCCATTTCCATCTTATCATTATGACTCTGACACCCTCAGGGACTACCCCACATTCACCAATAGCTTTAGTGTCTCTCCTCTCTAGCCTCAGCCAACTTCAACACCCCATGGCCTCCCTCCCAATCTCTCTCCCTGATCTTGCCTCCTCTACTGTTTCTTTGTTTCTGCCACCCTCTTGTTCCCATTGTCACACCCTCACAGAGCAGTTGTCCTCATCCTGATGACAAATCTACCTTTGCTTTGCCCTTATTCACCTTTTCTTCCACCTCTCAGTCACCCTTGATCAGGTTAAACTGGTTGTTCAGCCTTACTCAGAACTTCAGCCTCTCTATTTTTATGTATTAGTTCACCCCTCAGACCCCTCCTGGTTTCACTTCCTTGTCTGTGAGCCCCAGGCCCCAGTCAGTGATTTCAATGATAATCACACAAGCATCCTCTATGAGTCTTGACCTCTGTCCTCTGTACCTCATGCCTTTCCAGGGCCCAACTCCAGCTGGACCTTTCCATTCCTGTTTATAGTCTGCCCCGTCCAACCGAAAGGCTTCCCATAGCGACGGTGTTGATACCCTGACAAATGTTGCTTTCCATCCTCAGATGGTACCATGAGGCTACCAACCCTCATACACCTCATTTTTACTTTATTTCCCATTGTACACAATGGCTCATCCATACATTTGCTTCTCTCAAGTCCCTGATCACACTCCTACACCTTGACCCTCAATTGACTGAAACTCCCAGTTTCCAAACTAAAATAAATGTTTCCAAGTAAAAATTCCCTCCACTCCCCTCCAGTATATCTCCAAAGTCACCAGTTGTTTCCTTCTTCTCTCTAGCTCAGATTAGATGTCTTTCTCTTCTCTCAAGCTGTTGCCCCACCCTACCCCACCCCTCATCTTCCCTAATTAGTATGGCCTCCAGAACATCCTTTTTAGCCTTATATCAGCCTCACTCTTTCCATTGACCACGAAGACTATCACATAATCCCCATCCAAAAAGGGACTCTCCACTTGATTCTGCATCCCTTCCAAGCCACCTCCTTAGCCCTCTGCTACCTTTTACCATCAAACCTCCTTTTAAAAAATGCTTAATTATTTTTTTAATGTTACATGCCCACTAAAGAAAACTTGGAAAATACTGAAAAGCTGAAAGAATAAAAATAAGTGCATCATTTAGTCAGTCCTATGTCTCAGACAGAGACACTGAGCGTTTTTGTATTATATTCATTTTACCTCCCAACCCTACTCTATAGAGGTGCTTTATGAAACAGTATAATTATCCTGCATTTTCAATGGTCTATCCAGCTGGTATGCTTGTAACTTAATATTAAAACATAGACATTTCTGTCACTATATAGGCCCCGCAAACATAATTTGTAATGACTAGTC